CTTTCATCGCTGCTGCAATCATGTGTCAGAGACTCCGACGAAGCGAGTGGTGCCGCTAACGTCACCGTCTCGAAACCGCGTGCTCGAAATGCGAAAGGTGAACAACGTGGCAGCTGAACAAAACTATCACGCCATTTTAAAAACAAATTTAGCGGGATTATGGGAACATACAATAGGCCCTTGCATTATAATTATATCATATTTTATTTTTGGCGTGTCCTAACCTCTTGAAGTTCAGAATTTAATTTCTGAGTCAGTTTTTAAAAAATCAGAAAAACCGAAAAGCACCGAAATCAAGCAGACCTTGAACGGGGTGATTGTTTTATTTTATTATTAATTCCGTGATGATTTACAAGCGTTCGGGTCACGCACACGTTCCCAGGAGGTTGGGCGACCGCCTGCATGGCGTAGGCTAGGCCCGGCCTTTCGGCAGCGACAGCGAGCGGACGCAGAATCATATGCTCCGTAGGAGCGGTCTTAGCGCCTGGTAGCCGTGGTTTTTTGGTGGAAGGCCAAAGCCAGTATTATAGAGTTGTTCTTCCACCCCTGCCCATGGGCATTTATGCCCTCAACACCGTGTTTCTACACTGTCATATCAGCGGACGCCCTTACCGTATCGCAGATTTCCGGGACGGATTGAACATTGCCGGCGTACTCAAGGATATCGTCGCGTATCGTACCTTATAGAGTACCACTGCAACATTACCGCAAGAGCACCAAGTTCTGGTCCGAAGTCGTGTCTGAGCTGACAAACAAAATATAGCCTGGGCCAACCGTCAATTGTTGATCAAATCAAATCAAATAAAATCTTTATTTTAAAAAAAACTGGAGGGATCGCCAGACAAAAAGCTGTTAAAAAACAGCTTGACTGGGTCTGGGATTCCTTTACATTGGCAGTAGCTTTAACACTCAAAAACGCATGTTATATATAAAAGCAAAAAATAAAAAAATCTTTGCTAAGGCCACCGTTTGTAACATTTTCTTGTTGCAAAAATGTGATATGCCATGCAAGTCTTGCATTACGCCCAATTTCATCTACAGAACGTACATAAAGTATTTGCAACATTCGTCCGGAGTTTCTCCTGTGAAAGGATGAAACGATATAATTTGTTCAGACGTGTAGAACATGGCGGGATCTGTCTTACCCACCTTTTCGTACAACAGCTTGTGTCGCGTTTTTTCTACCCTCACAATCACAGTCATCCCTTTCTGCAAGCAGTTATCCATTCTAAACTTGCAAATTCTCTTCCCAAAATAATTGTTTCATCTCAGCCTGTCGAGGTGAGTTTGTTTGGGTTTTTGAAAGAAGTTCAAGATGACAGTTTATTCCTGCAATCACGTTTTTGAATCGAGTATTTGTTCAGTACCAGTACCACTAATAGACGTGCTGCGCTGCGAAGTTCTACAGAACAAACGTGCATTACGCCCAATTTCATCTACAGAAAATCCATAAAGTATTTGCAACATTCGTCCGGAGTTTCTCCTGTGAAAGGATGAAACGATATAATTTTGGTCACATGTTTGTTCTGTAGAACTCCGCAGCGCAGCACATCTATCAATGTACAACCAACTAGCCCAAACCCAAGTCCAAGCTTTATTAATCTTCAGTACCACTAAAAATAAACTTTCACGGGATCTTGTAGCTATACTTTTTTCCAACCCCCCTTTACTGCATGGTGTACGCTTGTAGCCCGGGCAAGGACGATCTTTATCGTGTTAAAAGAATGTGACTTCCCGTAGCTGTAAAAACGTTTTTCTTCGAACTGCATGGTGGCACTTTACTGGTAAAGACGTGGTTCGAGGAGAAGGACATTTATGTGCCTTCGCCCGTCAATGGTTTATTATGTAAGGTGCCAGAAACTATTGAATATGTTTTTATAGAATGTCGAAATGCGGTCTTTTATTTTTATTTCTTTTTTAGGGGCAGGGAAACATCTTACAACGGACATAAAAAAAGTATATGGAAATAAGAGCTCTCACTATTCCCTACTTACACTCACACACAAATTAATGTGTTCCGCACGGTATGTTCATTGCCTTGAATCTGTTTAGCATATGAAAGTCACGCCTGGAACACAGGCATGCGGATGTTGACGTAAAACAAATCAGCAAGTATTTTGAAGACCTTGTTGTACAAGCGCAAACACAGTACTGCCGATCAGAAGAGTTGACTCCGGAAAGGGCTTATCTTTTTCACTGTGTGCAAAAAACAAATTTAAGAATTTTAGTGCGCCAACAAGAACTTGGGCACTCATAATGACATCGCATGTTTAGCGACAATGGACCGCCTGTAACTTGCACAATAAAGAAAAAAAAAAAAAAAACTCCGTTATGTAGAGGTCCTGTTTTGGCCTCCAAAGTGGAAAGTGAAGGGTTCAAACCGTGGGGCGGTTCCTTCTCCAAGGAGTTTTGGGGCAATGCTCTTAGCCCCAGTTGCTTTGCGATGAAACCACAATATTTCCTTTTTTCCAAGGAGGTTGGGAATCGTTGTTCTGCGTCCCGCTTTCTTCAACATAAGCCCCAAGAAAAGTCGACTTTTTGTCCTATACCGAAAATTGACACCGAAAAAAACCAAACTTGTGGGAAAAAAAAAAACAAAAAAAAAAAAAAACAAAGAAAGAGAGACCATGCAACGTCCCGAAAAAGAATTAAACTCGAAAACACAGAACCCTGTCCTATCCTCGAATCCTGTCCTAAATTGCGTCGTTTAAATTTAAGTATGCATATAGTCAACAAAGCTATCGTTTCAACACGACTCTTTCACGTTTAGTCACTATCTATCATAACACCCAAGTACTTTACATTTTAGCTTTACCTTAATTATGCGTCGTTATTTAGCATTTAGGAAGAAGAAACGGGGCTCTTTTTTTCCTTCGTACATTTTATGTGAATATTCTTTTTAACTTTTAAGTTCATCCTGCACTTGTCACACCAGATAGCGATACTATCATATTACTCTGTAAAATACTAATTTAATTAGAACAATTTGTTTTAAAATAATAGTCACTCGCAAAAAGTTTATTTTTTGACTGGCCATTAACTATATTACTTATATCAACCAGATAAGTCAAATTACTTCATACAGACCTCCGCTGGTTTCATTTTGAGGGAAAACAATAAACAGCCACTAAAATATTTGCCGTTTAAGCAGATCTGACACCACAGTGTTTCTATGTGACACCCTGGAATTGTTATCGATGTGCTAAGAATATTTTTTGTCGACAAGCATTAACACACCTTCACCGGGAAAGTTTTATCTTTTCTCTAGACCACATAAAACTCCGGAAGTACTTCGCCGCAACCTATAGTGCTTAGCATACCTCGGCGAACCTCACTCATGATGGCCCTCACTCACCCTCACTCAGCCTTATCTTCACAGGTGAGGTGAGGGTGAGTGAGTTTCTGAAAATGCATGAATGTGAGGTTAAGTGAGGGCCGTGAGGTCCTGAGGGGTGTGAGGGCGTGAGGGCTGCGAGTGCGTGACTGGCGTGGGGGCCGTGGGGTTCAGTGAGGGTGAGTGAAGGGCTGAAGGTGAGTGTGACGATGAGGGTGAGTGAGGGGCAGAGGGTGAGTGCAGCTGTGATGGTGAGGCTGAGGGAAGAACTGAGGTGAGTGTGGCTGTGAGGTTGAGGGTGAGTGAGGGTGACCTAAATTTCCGACCTCTGCTGTTTAGAAACGGGGTCCTGTTCTTGAAGAGAAGACATCACTGGCTTGATCCCTCATTTCTTAATGTTTCGTACTGTAGCTTCAGGCTCGTAAATCTTTATTTTTGCTGATAAACCCGGTTTATTGCTGGCGAAACTCTTTCTGGGGCGATGAATGACAATAAAATTTAATTGATTACAGAATTTTCACCACCCGCTGAGTGCCCTCCTTTTCTTGAGACCGTACTGTGCCTAACCATTTGACTTTTGAATCCAAACAGTGTTGTATGCTTAAACGAAAAAAAAGTAACGGAATACGCTACTCGTTACCTGCAAATAAAAATAACGCGTTACTGGCCTACGGTACATCAAAATAAAAGGAACGCGTTACCGTTACCGACGAAAAGTAACGCACGTCACTTTTCCGTTACTTTTGCATAAGAACCATGTTGCAAGAAACAATATGTTTATGCAGAAACTACGCAAGCCTTATTTTTTTTACGGTTTCGCCTAAATATTTACAAGAAAAAAACTAAAAAAAAAGACACACAGAACTCAAAAGTTCGCGTAACTCTTGGGGCCTAAAGGCATGAAAAAAATTAAAGTGTAATTTTTTTTAAGTCTTGGGAAGATATGTGTAACGAGACACGTAACTACGCTACCCGTTACTCGAAAAAAGTAACATAAGTATGTTTCCCGTCACAGTTTAAAAAATGTAACGAGTACGTTACGCGTTACATAAAAATATAACGCGTTACCGGTAACGCCGTTCTTTGTAACGCGTTACCGCTAACACTGCCATTGCAGCCTTGACCGCCACGTAGACCAGGTCGACCCTTACCTACACCTTTCGTGTTTCTCAGTCCCGCAATCAGATTTCGAAATTGGCAAGGCCCTGTTTACGATCTCTCCAATCGCGTATCTCGTTCGTGCTCCCGGATCGTTCACACCTTTGGAGTGCGTTTGCTGATCTCTGCGTGAGAGGGAAGGGGCGTTCAACCGCTCGCCATCGCGAGCATCGTGTGACCAATACAAACGAGGGGGACACACGAAGCCCATGAAATCTTGGCGCCGGCAAACCGTGCAGGCTACACTTATCTACACGAGGCTATCATATCTAGGTGTTTATCTTAAAATGTTGTTATGGAAAGAGCGCCTTGGGACGTCAGCCTCGCCGGCGCTCTATTACGCCAGGTAGCTGTATTGGATTTCAAGCGATACTCACCGGTTGAGCTCCTCCTTCTCGTGCGTTCGTGGGTGCGCGGATGTTTGAACAGAGCGATATGCTTCCGCGAAAAGAGTGGACAAGTGATTTCCGAAAGTTTGCCAACCTCACGCCTGCGTTCGTGCTCTCAGATTCGAAGCTGACGCCACACCGCCGTCACGACGAAGCCTGGAGATGGAGTCGGCAGCCTCCACCACGCGAATCTGCGAAGACGGGGACTCAAGGTAAGCATGCTGTTGCGACTTTGAGGGGACGGTCTCAAGTGTGGGACGAGGAGGCATACCTGTGACCCGCGGACTGCGTAGCTCGGGAGGAAGGAGACCAGGAGGGGTGTACTAGGGTAACACTCTGTTGTTGTTTTCTTATATACAGTGAACCTACAAATAAGTGTTTGACATATCAATCATCATGATGCAGACTTACTGGCCTGGGCCACCATAAAAACAAAAACGCCCCCCCCCCCCCCCCCAAAAAAAAAAAAACACATCTGTATAGAGTTATAGCGGAACAATGTTAGCGCGCTAGTGCAGAGGCCAGCGACTGCGCCGGCCCGTACCAGCAGGCATACCGCGTGATCGGGATATACCAGTGAAGGAAATGACGTCCACCTAGAGTTTAGACAAGAGAATCTTCTTTGTACCCTTTTTAGTATATCCCACTCACGCGGCACCCGCTCGCACGAGCCGGCGCTCACTGGCCTCTGCACTGGTGCGCTGCCATTGTTCAGTTGTGGCTTTACAGAATCCCCCCTAGTTGCCTTGTTGCGTGCGGCAAAAGAGATGATTTGGCTCCACGTAGAGATGGTGACCGTGCACATGGTGAAGAAAGCTGGCGACTTTTATTGTTTTTGTTTGTTTTGTTTTTGTGTTTTCTAGTTGCGGGATGAAAAGTCCGCGATATTTATGGCATAATCCGAATAGTCTAGCTTCACTCTGTTCAGTTCAGTGTGACGACATCCTGACGTCCATCCAGAGCTTAGGCAAGAGAATTTTTATATCCCGTTCCCGCGGCGCCTGCTAACAAGAGCCGGCACGCTCGCTGGCCTTTGCACTGGCGCGCTTTCATTGTTCAGCTGTGGCTCTACAATGCAATCGGTAGATGCTCTTTCCATCCGCCGGTAGCCGCTCTCGCCCTGCGCAGTCTAAAGGGCAGTCCGATTCAAGGAGTCGATGTTCATGCCGCTTACACAAAACACAAATGCAGGTCGCTGTTCCGAAGCGAGTTGGGTTAGGTGAGAACTTATTAGCCACACTAAAGTACATCCAGTATGTTATGAATATTGAAGTTCATTCATCATGTCGTATCAAAGCGGGTAAAATATTAAGTGGTTGTCATACTAAAATGCACCCAGTATGTGACGATATAATCATCCAGTATGCCATGACATCCAGGAACTCACAAAGTATGTCGCACGTACTGGAACGCATCCAGTAGGCCACGTCGAATACCGGTATCATAAACTTACATCCAGTAACGAAATACTGGAACTCGTCTAATATGCCTGACATCTTGGCACTCATCAACTATGTCGCGGCATGCCAGAACGCATCCAGTAGGCTGCGTCATATACGAGTCAATATAAGTTGTAGGGTACTAAAATACATCCTGAATGTCATGACATACCGTAACTCATCTAGCAGGTCATGACAAGTTAGGACTCATCAAGTATGTCACGACACACCTGAACGCATTCAGTATGCTGCGTCAAATACGGGTACAATATTTATGATGCATGATTCATAAACCCCAAGACTGCAGGTAACGACAAACACACTCAAATATTGTACCGTATTCTACAATACTCAAGTGGTTGCAAAATAAAATGCGTCCAAAGAACGATATACTGTAATTCATCTAATATGTCATGACATCCTGGCATTCTTCAGTATGTCGCGACATACTGGAAAACATCCAGTATGCCGCTTCGAATACGGGTACGATATTCAGTTAATTAAAATACATTCTAGTATGTCACAACATACTGGAACTTATCTAATATGCCGTAACGTCCTGGCTCGTCAAGTATGTATCGACACACTGGAACTCATCTAGTACGGCATTGATGAAAAGGCAGTGAGTATGCAGGCGAGCTGGTGATAGTTAATCATGATGTTTAGAACCCGTGACTGGTGGTGAGAAGAAAAAAACACTTTAAAGTCGAAGGAGAAGACGTTTTAAAAGCATCCAAATCATTTCTTTTCTTTCGCTTCTTGTACACCAACAAATCCTTTCCGAGACATACACTTCCTTCATAATGCACCGATGTGACTCTTATATACATATGATTCAGTCACTGAATGATCTCTTCGAAAATGTTCGTATAGTCATTCTGGATACAATCATCACCAACTTCCCTCCCAGACACGTCCTTTGTTCAAAATGCTGCGATCAACCTTTCAAGCACCCTAAGCATTAGCACCCTTCGTTCACGTTACACGGAAAGACATATCCAAACCGTTCACTCTAATAATGTTGTCCTCCGGTCACACTCTTTGTTTACTATGCACGTAAAAAACAATTTTAATTGAATGGACACGGTTGTATTCCAAAGAGTGCTTTTGACTTACTGTCAAGTTCCCTTGAGGCCTGGGAAATACAATGTCCTCTTGTTTTGGTTATTACTGCTTCTCTTATATTCCTATTTATATCATTAGACTTTTTCATACAAAGCTTTCGTCTCTGACCAAGCTGCCGTACAATTGTTACATTCACCATTATCCTTTGCTATTACTTAGTTTGACGCGTGTATTTTTACGTTCATTTTATGTTCTAGTAACCTATCGTTACTAGAACGAACAGATGTCAAGATGTGTGAACGATAGTTTACTAGCACAAAAGAAACGTAATAATAAACACAGCGAATTCGGTAATAGCGAGACATGTTGGGGAATGTAAAAACTTTACGGCGGGTTGATCGGAGAGGGAAGTTTTGTACACAGAGCCTAGTGATATCAAGAGGATCGTAAGAGAAACAATAAAGGCCCGTTCACACTCTTGCGACCGAGTGCGACCGAGTACGACTGAGAGAGACGAGTTCTCTTAAAACTTGCTAAATGTTTTTAAAATGAGGGAACAAACTGGCATTGTGGCGCCATCTATGCGGTGACCCTAGAACTGCATTTCACAAGAGCGAAGGTTTTGCGGGATTTCCGAGGTCAAATGTGCGTAATACTCATAGAAAGGCTCGTTTACAACATTGACAAAAGTTTTTCGAGCCAAGAAAGAAAGGATAATGCGCGAGAAATAAAAAAAAATATGCCGGACCGCAGAGTTTACACTGCTTCCCAATAGATGGCACCAGTGTGTTTTCTGGTTTAAGAAGTTGTAAGGAACCTAGGTTCGCAAGAGTAGCAAGAGTGTGAACGGGCCTTTAGAATCAAAACATAATGAAATTGTATTTCCCAGGCCTCGATGCAACTCCAAAGGAAGTAAAAAAAGTGCTTGGAATATAACCTTGTCCATATAGGTTTATTTTTTTATTTTTTTTACCTTCACTGTGAGCAAAGAGTGTGGCTGGAAGAAAAGGGTTTTAGGGGTAAAGGGTTCGGATGTGTCTAAAAGTTATTTCCGTGCAACATGAACATAGTGTCTTAGTGCTTACTGTGTTTAAAAAACAGTGTTGGGTAAAATACATCTAAAAAAATTTAAAGTAAAGTATAAAGTAAATGAGAGGTTAGGTACTCCAAGTAAAGTACAAAGTATACCGGGCGAAATGTACCTAAAGTAAAATAATATAAATGTAATGTACTGTCAAACGAAAACATACAAGAATATTTGTTAACACAATATTTCATAATGCCGTTTCATTCCCCTATACAGTATTTTTTAAAGTGGTATGCATTTTACCAGGGTGATCGGAAATGCATCAGTTATTTTCAGAAATGGCGGCAAATATTGGATAAAGTCAAGTGGTCACAGTGTAATAATTTTCGGAAATGGTGCCAAGTTCAGAAGTCCCTTTGCTTCCTGAATTCGGCACCGCTTGCACTGGCTCGAGTCCCAAGAATGTTAAATGTGCTAATAAAGAGCATGACATTCTCCCCGTAGCTTGCGCAAGCAATCCTCTTGTGGAGGAGTGTCCTCTTCTAATTTTTTTAACCTCCTGGCTTTTGCTGGCCGAGCAAGAAGTAGCGAGAGTTCCAAAGGCGAGCCGCCCCCAGAACAAAGGGAACGATGTATTGTCTGCTAGAGCTTTTGATGAGAGTAGAACATCCCTTCCAGTATTTCTTAAGAGTTTACATTCACAGCCTTGCTATGCAAATTTGAAAATACCAAATTTGGGAAATGTGCCTTTAAGTCGAGAATTGTACTTTCCTCGGAAATTACCAACAAAAAATATTTTAAGTAAAGTGTAAGTACTAGCCCAGAGAATGTACTTCAAGTAAAGTACAAGTTTTCTACACCTATTTCAAGTGATACTTTAAAATACAATATACTTAAAGTCCTTCCCAACACTTAACAGATCAATCGCAGCATTTTAAACAAATTACGTGTTTAGGAGGGAAGTTGGTGATGATCGTATAGAGAATGACTGGACATCTCTAAGAGGCTATTCGGTAACTGATTCATATGTATCTAAGAGTCCACTCGGTGCATTGTAGACGAAGTTTATGTCCGGGAGAGGATTTGTTGGTGTCTATGTGGAGTATACAAGGCGCGAGAGAAAATAAACAATTTAGCTTCGTTTGAGACGTAACCTCCTGTGCCTTTTTCTTCGACTTTAAAGTTTCCAATTTTTTTCCTCACCACAGTCTTGGGTTTTAAACAGTCTCGGAGTTTAAACAGTTCCAGGATGTCACGACATCCTGGAACTCTCCAAGTATGTTGCGACATACTGGAATGCATCGAGTATGCCGCGGCAAAGACGGGTACAATATTCAAGTGGCCAGATTGGGTGGCAAAACTGAGATAACGATTCAAGTCCTTTATCTCGGACATTTTGACATCTGATATAAAGTCCATGAGAGTTTGCTATTTGCTACCCTTACTTCAGGTTACACCCGTGAAGCGTCATTGTCCGAGTTTCCTGTCATGGGAGCAACTAAGACAGCAGAAGATACTATGCTACTTCGCAACCAGACGTGTCCGTCGTCTTCTCAGATAACATCTGTGACGCTCCCCTCTCATGCTACAGCGTCACGTGTCAGTGTTCACGGCTATGAAGTCTACGTTCACTTGTTTCTAAACTGCGAACTGTTCAGAAAAGCCTTCCTAGACGTACACG